ATATCGCAGCTTCATCCTTCTGTTATAGTGACGGGAAACTCTCTGGTGGTAGGCAGCAACCTTAAGCATCCTCTCGTCTCTTACTTATAAAAAAGAGGTCTATGTTGTACCTGAGTTTTTCGTCGTTGGTATTAGAGTCAAAAGTTTGTACTCTATGACTTGGGACTCAAATGTTGACGGGAATGATAGCCTCTGTGCCAAAGCAGAGGTTATACGGCGTCTCTCCTGTTGGAGTCCTTGCTGTAGTACGATAGGTCCACAGGACATTTGGGAGCTCGTTAGCCCATTGCCCCCCAGCCTTATCCAGCAGTGTCTTCAATCCTCTAAGAATGGTTCGATTAGTGACCTCTGTCTGTCCATTAGTATGAGGATGGGCCATAGCCGTGTGTACTAGTTGAATGTGGAGATCTTTACAAAATGTGGTGATCTTGGCCAGAGGTTCTGCTTCTACCCACTTTGTGAAATAGTCCACAGCCAAGATGATGAACTTCTGCTATCCCGTGGCTATAGGAAAGGGTCCTATTATGTCGATCCCCCATTGGGCGAAAGGCCAGGGACTCTGTAATGTTGAGATCTCTATAGCAGGTAGATGAGTGAGGTTGGCATGTAACTGGCAACTGTTACATTTTTGTACGAGCTCTAATGAATCCTATTTTATGGTTGGCCAGTAAAATCCCTGTCTCAGGACCTTTTGGGCTAGCGCCCTTCCGCCTAGATGTTCCCCACAAATGTCTGAATGTACTTCTCGGAGTGCATAGTTTGCCCATGAAGGAGGAAGACATTTGAGGTATGGCCCTATGAAAGATTGTTTGTATAATTCTCCATTGATAATGGTAAAGTTTGTTGCCTACTTCCGGAGTCGTACCGCCACTGTTGGGTCTTCAGGGAGAATGCCCTCTTGTAGGAAAGTGAGAATGGGGTCGATCCAAGAAGCTTCTTTTGATTTATCTATTGATTGAATCACCCATGGGCCTTGCACACTCGGGAAATGGATCTACTCAATGTGTTTTCTTTTGAAAATGTCTCCTGTCGTAGAAGTGGCCAGTTTAGAGAGAGAGTCTGCCCTTGCGTTATGTTCTCGAAGGATGGATGATCTAATGCTTCGTTATTTGGACCAATAAGAATTTAACTATCTGGAAATACTGGGTCAACAATGGATGGTTAGCATCAAACTCCCCTTCTACCTGAAAGGCGACTAGTTGGGAATCAGTGTAAATCACTAAGTCCTGTACTTCGCAACTGATTGCCAATCTCAATCAGGCGATTAGAGCTTCATATTCAGTGATGTTGTTTGTTGCTGAGAACTTCAATCTAAGCCCGTATTCGAGTGTGGCTTTCTGTGGGGAGATCAATAAGATTCCAGCGCCAGCACCAGAACTCCCAGAAGCCCCGTCGACATATAATATCCAGGTGGAAGAGGAAGGAGACACATCAAGTGATTCAATAGAGGTGTGGCTAGTGCATTCGATCACAAAATCAGCAAGCACTTGTGACTTGATGTCGGGTCTAGGTAGGAACTGTATATCGAACTCCCCGAGCTCCACTGACCATTTGATCAATCTTCCAGATGCCTCGGGTTTTTGGAGAATGCTTTTCAACGGTAGGTTTGTATAAACCTTGATCGCGTGTGTTTGAAAATAAGGTCGTAACTTTCTTGCTGAGAAGACTAATGCTAAGACTGTTTTATCTGCCAATGGATAACATGTCTCATTCTCTGAAAGTACCTTGCTAATGTAATAGACTGGGCGTTGAATTATCCTCCACCCAAACCAAGACCGAACTTATAGCCTGGGACGAGACGGCCATATACATATATAAAATTTCTCCTGAAACCAGCTTCGAGAGTAGCGATGGTGAGGCTAGATAAGTTTGGAGTTGCTCGAAAGCCTCTTGGCATTTATCGATCCACTGAAATCCTGAGCTATGAGCACCTCTGAGAATCTTGAAGAAAGGCAAGTATTTGTCTCATAAACGAGCCAGGAATCGAGAGAGTGTTGCAATCCTTCCGTTCAATCTCTGGACTTCTTTGATATTTCTTGGGGGTAGCATGTCCCTTAGGGCCTTGATATTTTCCGGGTTGACCTCAATCCCTCGATGGGTAACCATGAACCCCAAAAATTTTCTTAAGGCAACTCCAAATGCACATTTGGAGGGGTTGAGGCGCATGTTGTAAGATCGAAGGAGGCATAAACATTCTTCCAAATCTGAGATATGTTGGGATTTCTCGAGACTCTTTACTAGCATGTCGTCTACATAGACTTCCATGGTACGTCCGATAAGGTTATTAAAAACTTTATTCATCAGTCGTTGGTATGTTGCCCCTGCATTTTTTAGCCCGAACGGCATTACTAGGTAGCAATACAATCCTTTATCTATTTGAAAAGCTATTGCCTCCTCACCAGCAGGATCCATTTGTATTTGATTGTATCCAGAATAAGCATCTATGAAGCTTAGTATCTGATGTTCGGAGGTGGCATCAACTAGCTGGTCAATAAGGGGAAGCGGGAAATTGTCCTTGGGGCAGGCCTTATTGAGATCAATGTAGTCTACACACATTCTCCAAGTTCCACTTGCCTTTCGAACCATCATGACGTTGGGCAACCAAGCGGGATAGTGTACTTCCCTTATAAATCTTGCATTTAAAAGCTTATCAACCTCCTGCTCGATTTCCATCTGACGTTCTAGCGCAAAGTTTCGTTTCTTTTGGATCACTAGTTTACATGCTGGGTTGATCTTGAGGGAGTGCATGATTACTTCAGGATTGATGCCGGGCATATCAGCCGAACTCCATGCAAATACATCTTGGTTTGTACGTAGAAAGTTTACGTACTCTTTTTTCTCTGCATCTGAGAGGAGCGATCCGATCTGTACTGTTCTCGATGGATGCTCTTCTGATAGAGAGACACAAGTAAGATCTTCAACAGGGGAGGCCCTTTGAGGGGTATCTTCATTCCGAAGATCGAAGTCCTCGATGCTTAGAGTAACTGATGAGTGTGGTTGAGCTTGCCTAAGATAGCATGATTGTGCTACTTGTTGATCTCCTCGTACGGTTCTGATTCCCGATGGGGTAGGAAACTTGAGCTTTAAGTGGGGAATTGAAGCAATAGCCCCAAAGATTGTTTGGAGTGGCCTTCCAAAGATCGCATTGTAGGCTGATTCGAATTTCACTACAATGAACAGAATGGGGTGCTCAACTTGGCGGGGGAATTCTCCAAGTATGATCGGGAGATTAATGGTTCCTTCAACTCTTACAGGTCGGTTGTCAAATCTGTATAGTGGACCGACAGCAGGCTGGAGTTTCTCTCTGGATAGGCCCATGCTAAGAAAAGTGGAATAGAACATCTACTGAGCTTCCATTGTCAACCAAGATCCTTTTAACATTGTATCATGGGTCGCTGATTCCTGCGCTAATCACCAGTGGATCTTGATGAGGGGTCTTTACGCCTTCTAGATCGGACTCCTCGAAGGTGATGGAGTGATCGACATGAAGCTTTTTTGTTGGTGGCTCCTTGTTCTCTGCGATTAGAACTTGACAAGGCGTTGATGGGCTTCCATCGATGATTTTGATCTCCCCCACTATTTGGTGATTGTTTATCGACTGCCTTTGTTGTTGACTCTGCCCCCCAGTCGGGCTAACCTCATCTCGGGCTTGTGGATTCTTGACGAACTGTCGGAGATATCCTTGTCGGATCAGTCTCTCAATTTCCTCCTTGAGCTGCCTGCATGCTTCAGTAGTGTGTCCACGACTGCGGTGGAAATGACAATATTGCTCTTGGTTCCATACATTCAGCTTTAAAGGGTACGGTCACTTCACACTCTCTTGATCTCGGATGACCATCAATACATTCGCTCGGGATGCATTGAGTGGTGTGTACTCCTTTTATTGTCGAGGCTCTCGTCGTGGATGTAATGGTCGAGGAGGAAGATTGTAGTTTCATTGCTTCTTCCTTTGTGAGGATGTATTTTTTAGCCCTGGGGGATTTTTGCGCTTCCCGGTTGTCTGCTCAAATTGTTTCCTATGAGCATTAATGGCTTTGTCGGTGGAGATTTGAGCCTCTACTCGATGGATTAGATCCGCATATAAACGGAACGTTTCACGCATGAGTGCCGAGGAGAAAGGACCCAGGCGAAGCCCTCTGAGAAATACACCTCTAAGCAACTCGAGATCTACCCCTGGAAGAGAAGGTTTATTATCTGTTCAACTTGTCGTTTTGTTTTACATTGTTTACTACATATCCCCAAATCTTATCTAATACCCCATTTGGTTGCTTGAAGGTAGAAAACTCAATTTGATAAACAGTGTGCTTAAAAATGAGTAAATGATCAAAATAATCCCTACGCTTTTTAGATGTTTGTTTTAATCTCAGAAGTTAGGACTATAGAGGGAGTTGAAGGTAAACTTGAATTATGGAGGTCAACTGTAGAGTCTAAAGGTTTTCACTTGAGTAGATAGATCTAGAATTGAATATATGGAGTGTAATTTTAAAATTAATAGACCTAGTGAAGGGATTGTGACTTTGGGCGATCAAGTCATTAATAAGAATACACGGTTTAGATATCTTGGATTTATTGTTCAGAGTAACGGTGAAATAGATGGGGATATTATCAGTAGAATTTAAGTTGGATGGTTGAAGTGGAGGAATGCATCATGCTTGTTGTGTGATAGAAAAGTTCCCTTCAAACTTAATGGAAAATTCTATAAAATGGTGGTGAGACCTACAATGCTTTATGGTGCCGAATGTTGGCCATTAAAAGAGAAGCATATTACTAAGTTAAGTGTTGTAGAGATGAGGATGCTCAGGCGGATGAGTGGCTTTACCATTTTTTATGACCAATTTGAGAGAAGGGGCCAACTTTTTATTCATGAACAACAAGCACCAGCTCCATTGATGAACGTTCCACATAAAACCACCTTAAGCTCACCTTCAGCATAATCAAAACAAGCAAAATCAAAAACTAATATGTGCTTATTTTCTCGGATTTTCCTTGTAATAACACGTATGCTTCCATTGCTCTCATGCAGGTTTCTTCTCCTCTCCACCATTCCAATCCTCATTTGTTCACTCCTTGTACTGATCATAGCAAATTTAGTCGAGCTCGGAACGGTGGCTCATGCCGTGCTCTCCACGGTCAGTGTCATCGCCTATTTCTGCTGCTTCGTCATGGGATTTGGCCCAATCCCCAATATTCTCTGCGCAGAGATCTTCCCCACCAGGGTTCGCGGCATCTGCATAGCCATTTGCGCCCTCGTCTTTTGGATCGGCGACATCATAGTCACATACTCCCTCCCTGTCATGCTCAACAGCATTGGCCTTGCTGGTGTCTTTGGGATTTATGCCATTGTCTGTGTCATTGCATTTTTCTTCGTCTTCCTCAAGGTACCTGAGACCAAGGGAATGCCTCTTGAGGTCATTACAGAATTCTTCGCAGTTGGTGCAAAGCAAAAGCAGCAGGCAAAACAGAATTGATGCGAGGTGTGGAAAGTTAGAATGTTTGATGAAGGAGGAGAAGAAGATTATGAAATACATAAGAAGAGAAGAAAGAGAAGCTGCAAGAGGTAATAATATACTAATGTTGATGACATTTTAAGGGTGATGAAGGTTGCTTGAATGCTTAGCTTTTTTCTATTCATTTTACATTGTGAGATTAGTTCTGTAGCCTTTTGTTACTATGCTGATGAATTTTATTCCTTAATTTTGTTTTATCTTTTGATGCTTTGATGTGGAGATGCTATTGCTTTTAAGGTACAGCCAGCTTTGTTGTAATAAAGAGTCCACTGAAAATTTCCTTGGTCGTGTGGGTTTCTTGTTCACTTTGCAAGCAGTAAAATTTATTTTTTTGAGTGAATATTGCTCATCAAAATTATTTGTAAAATTATTAGGTAAATGTGATGTATGAATAATATTCAATATTTATTTATATGATTTAAATCAAATTAAATAATTAAAAAAATAATTTTAATTAAATATTTTGTACATTATTAATGGGTGCAGGATTAGATGTCCTATTTGAATGCATTTGTTGGGTGAAATAGCTCTAGAATGTTAAGTTGTTAGCATGGGGGGTGTGGCTTGTTGACAAGAAACTGGAAGGATTTGAATCAAGAAGACATCTTTGGTGTGCTAAGTTTTCATTAAGGCAGGCGTCGAGCTGAATGCGAGGCACGTTTAATTTGAGATTGAGCTTGATTAATTACTCGAGTTAGTGCTCGAGCTTGAGTTTTAATCTATAAGTCTGAGCTGACTTATGAGTCAGCTCGGATGTAAGATGGATAAAAATATGATTTAAGCAACTATTATAATAAAATGATAAAAAAAAGAAAGTTTTAAGAAAAGTAATAAAGATTTACTTGATATTTTTAAATATTTTAAACATTTTTGCACTTAAAATTTTAGATCCTAATATATTTTATAAATGAGTTCATTTGTAAGCTAACGAGTTGAGTCGAGCTGACTCAAGTTTAACTCATTAGCTCATCGAGTTAGGCTTATATATGAGCTAGCTTGATTTGACTTACGAGCCGGCTTGACTCACACCCTTGGCGAGTATTATCTACTGGTCAATGTGAGAAGGAAGAGAGCCTTGAGGTGAAAAAGGATTCATTGACTTGTTGAGGGTAGAAGATTAAGTTGATATTATTAGAGCATTCACAAGGAAATTCAACATTTGTTGAGAGGGAACTAGACACTCGAGCACAAAGAAAATTAATCTAAGTTGAGAAGGAAGATGATGGCATGGAAATATATTGTTATCGTACTAGGTGTGTTGTTGTTGCCCTCTATTGACTTAAATAGTGGTGAGAATTTGTCACATCATTTTAAGATTTTAGCGAGTAATTGTCCTGCGATTTCGATTGATATTTCTACATTGGTGGGGCTCTTATCACTATTTGATGTCTTCTAACATTAGAGGCTATATCATTATTAGCATCCATTAACATTTAACACATTAGATAGTGCAATGGGGTGCCACTTTGCCATAGAGGTTAGGACTAGCTAGCATGATAGGCAAAGAGGCAATTTAGCCTTAGATGATGCATTCATGTTAAGTCTGTGTTGGTTATGGTCATTAGATCATAGGCTTCATGATGCATCAACTCTCCTAATATGAACCCTATGGCTAATTGTTTTTAAGTAATTAAGCATTACTAAGGCTATCAAAAAGGTCAAGGGCTAAGTTTTTATGTGTGGAATCTCCTTGTGTTGATCAATCAGGTTGTTCTGTTGCCTTGGACCTCAAGTTTCTCATGCTCGTTGGGGGTTGCGGGGGGTTTACAAATTTTTTTTTTTTTTTTGTACAATGCCCTGGTGCTGCATATCCAAGTGCCCCAGCATTGAACGACAAAGAGTGGAGCATCGTAGCAATCTAGATACGATGCCGCAACATATCAAGATAGAGTTTCAAACTTTGGAGTGCTCATAATTGGCGCCACATCGAACGATTTTCTTTTTAATTTTTCTGAGGGGTTGCGTCCTTTGAAGTTATTTTACTTGACTTTCTCTTATATTTTGAGTAACACATGGAGAGAATAATGCATTTTAGAAGAGAAGCAAGGGGAGAGTGATAAAGAAGAGAGATATGCACTTATTTCTCCCAATTTTTATAGTGGATTTCTTGATATGGTGTGGCTCCATAGTGTTTTGCTTGTTTCGTCATTGTAGTGTTTACTCTTCCTCATCCCCAACATAAGTTAATTAATCAAATACAAGTATGTGAATTTTTATGAGATAAATATTATGCAAAAAGAAAAAAAAAGATGTGGGAAATACTATTGAACCTTGGATTAAAGGAAGCCCTCTAAATTAGAGTTGGCATTTCTTTAGCTTGAATTTTTGCATATTTATAATATTTTCCTCTTTTACTATCCCTTAGTTGATTCATTTTCAACTTAATAGATTTAGGCTTCTTTTGTGATAGTTTTCTTTTTGCTTTCAAAAGCAACTTTTAAGTATAAAAAATTTTCAAACTAATTTTTTTTTTACTAAAAAACTGCTTTATAAAGAAGTACGAAACATGTCCGAAACAAAACCTTAATTTAAGCTTTATGATAACACCCTGGAGTTAACATGCATTGATTTAAAATGTTCTTCCTAATTATTAACATACAACTATATTCAATTAGAAATGGTCACGATAATGGTAGGTTTGACTTAGTTTGTTATCCTACGATAGGTCTACATTAGTACCCTAACGAGTGATAAAAAATAAAAGTTTCATTGGCAATTGTCATGAGTGATTTTTGTTATGCTTGGCTGGGAAGGATGGGAAGTAAAGGAAAGAGGAGAGGAAGAGAAGGGAGAGAGGAGAGGAGAGAGAGAAGAGAGAGGAAGCTCGATCTCTAGGAATTTTTTGCCTGATGTTTCTGTTATTTATTTTATTCTATTTGAAATAAGTGACTATACTCTTACTCTTGTTTTCAATGTTTTTTATTTCTACTATTTTAATCTTCTGAAAATTGATAAAATATATTTTCTCCTTAATTATCAAGCTTTCATCATGTAATTTTTTGCATATGATAGATATAATCTTCACGAGCATTTTGACTATAATATATTAAATTTCGTATAGTAAATTGGAAGGTATGATTTTCAGAAGTAAATGCATATATATATTATACAGATTTTGTAAATTTCATTGCACTTTATGGACTATTATATTTCATAGTTGATATGACTACATTGCATAGAAAAATGACATAACTAATATGAGATAAAAATGACATTTGCATATAAGAAAGAAAGGATAGCTGCTAACACTATAATTAATATGAGTTTGATATGAAAAAGTAATATCATATACAAGAGGGTGGGTTGACTGACTTTTATCAAAATAAAAGGATGGTGGTGTACTCCTGGCTATAGCCTATAATCAATTGATTGATTATGCCGACAGATAAAGAGTGACGACTCTTCATTAATTATTAAAAGTTACTTATGAATTGATTTAAGATAATGAATAATGATGGTAAGATAAAGATCAATGACCAACTAGTCGAAGGTAGATATTAAATTAAAAAGTGATGGCCAACTGGATGATGGTTGGGTTGGAAGGATGAAAATATTACATTAAAGTTAGATCTATTACCTTGCTCATAATAATTGTATTCAAGATTGTATATACATAATAATATATTGAACTAACTAATGGATGGAACTAAAGTCATATTAATAGAACTTGCATAGATACTAATATAATATTACACGACATACTGACATGACTCATTGATTGATAGTCATTTTTCTTATGATTTAATAAATCTCTTTTGGTTTTACTAAGCATATTGGTTTTACTATTGATTGATACAAAATTTATAGATTATTTATTACTTATATTGATAGACTATTGATTATTGATTAATATGGATCGTGCTGGAACAGTCATATTGATTCTTTTGTATTATATTGAGTGCACTTATGAGTTTTGATTTCTTGATGGACTTTTATGCTCGTTACATGATTTTTATATGATTTTAAGTAAAGGTAAAGATTATTCAGCTTAGGGCTAGACATTGATGATGATTTAGTTTTATTTTCAATTCTCTGGTTTTATGTATTCTTTTATAGCATGTCGTGGCTAGTGTACATATTATTTTGAGACTTTGAACCTTATAGTGGAATGCCAATATTGGATGTAGTAATATATTTTTATGCTTCATTGTATATATTTGTTTATATTTTATTAAATATAATTAGTCAGCTCTGGTTGTGAATGATCTGATTGTAAATGAACATTGGTTGTTAATTGAATTGTAAGAATAACGATAAACGAATAAAGAGAAAAGAGATGAAATTCTTTCACTTTAGATCTCAGGGCATGACATGTCATTGGCCAACGCCCCATCAACCTACCTTGTGTTTGCTGCCAAGTGCCAACCAGCCCTAAACACATTGCTGACGCTTCTATATTTGGCCCACCATCATCACATTAGTAATGACAACACCACCCTTTTTTAAACTACAAATAAATTGAGTTATGTGGTAATAAAAAAGCAATTTTGAGTTATCAAGTATATTTTAATTTTTAAGATTCATTAGTTCCCTAATATATAAGTAGAATAATTCTATCATGATTAATTTATTATTTATTTATTTTATTTTATTGAAATGGGCTTGTTTTTTGATTAAACTCAAACTAGGTAGCATGAACTTGATACTTGTAACGGGCTAAATGATTCGCGGTGGTAGAGTGAGTAAGCTTTTCGTCTTAGTGATGAACAAATTTCTAGCATACAAACGGAAAGAGAGAAGTAAAACATCTAATCTCTTTTATGTGGAAAGTCTGAGGAGGGAAAAATCACGAGACCTCACTTAGGTGAAAAGATTTCACTAAATTTGAGTGAATTATAAGAGTTGACCTGTTCCTCGACTTAGATGCGGTCAAATTATAGTGGTTTGGAGAGTTAGACAAAGTTTTGGTGACGGTAGGGTAGAAGTACAACGGCGTCAGTGCAGAAGTTCGGCTGGCGGGGAATGATTTGACAAATGTTGGGCAGAAGTCCGGCGGAGGTCGGCGCCGGACTGAAGTCAAACGGTCTGGTGGAAGTCAGACGACGGTTAGCGGCTGGGTGGAAGTCTAGCGGCGGTCAAGGGCCAAGCGATGGTCTAACGATGGTCGAGTTGAAGTCCAGCGGCGGTCTGTAGCCAGGTGGAAGTCCAACAGAAGTTAGCGGCCGGATGGAAGTCAGGCAGTGGCTGGGTGGTCCGATAAAGGTCGGGATGAAGTCTGGCGACAACCGGGTGGAAGTCTGGCGGCAGTTAGTGGCCAGGCAGTGGCCCGAACAAATGTCGAGCTGAATTTTGGCGACACTCTGTGACCATGTGGAAGTTTGACAGCGGTCAGCAGCAGGGCGAAAGTCAGGCGTCCGGGTGGAAGTTTGATGGCAGTCAACGCCTGAGTGGTTCGACAAAGGTTGGGTAGAAGTCTGTTGACTGTATGTGGCCGGGTGGAAGTTCGGCGGCATTCGGCGGCCGGGCGGTTGTCCGACGAACGTCAAGCTGAAGCCCAGCAGCGATTTGCGGCCAGGGGGAAGTCCGACAGCGTTCGACGGCTGGGTGGAAGTCAGGTGGTGGTCGGGTGGAAGTCAGGCAGTTGTCAGGTGGAAGCCTGGCGGTGTTTAGAGGCCAGGTGGTCCGACGAATGTATGGCTGAAGTCTGGCGACGGTCGGCGGTCGAGTGGAAGTCCAACGGTGGCTGGCGACCGGGCGGTGGTTCGACGAAGGTTGAGCTGAAGTCCGACGACAGTCTGGGGCCAGGTGGAAGTTTAATGGTGGTATGCGGCGGGGCTGAAGTCCAGCAGGTGTGTGGAAGTCAAGCGGCGGCCAAGTGGAAGTCTGGCGGCGGTCGGCGGCCGGGTGGTCCGACGAAGCTTCAGAGTTCTATCCAATCTCTAGCCAAAGGACCTCCTCATGTAGAGAGTTGGAGTCTATTTATATATTTTAATGAGTGGCACACATCCCGTAAATATATAGAAGATTCGAGGCAGGTTCAAAGTGTTTCATTGGATGGCTTGTATTGATTCCCCGATCATAAAAAGTTTTTAAGTGCCTTAACGATGTCGGAATTCGACGATCTTGGGCTTGTTGGATTTGTCTCGCCGAGCCGCTCAATTTGACTATAAGCATGACATATTTGGATATCATTTTGTCATCCAAATAATGCTTTGATCCTTCAAAATAAGGTTTGGGCCCCCAATTTGGACCCATTTAATTTGGACTCGGGTTGGACCGAATTTGGTGTCATTAGGTTCTTCTCTTTGAGACGTTCAGTTGACTGTAAGTTTGCTAAATTTTGAATTCAGATGATCCCGAATTTAATTTTGAAAGTTTTCAACTTGAATATGCCTCGAGATTCGTTCTCGATCAAAGAAATTTTAGATGACGTATCATAACTCACGAACAATTTTATATGCAAGCCAATTTTTAACAAATAAATAATTAAACAAGCTAACTTTAATACAGAATAAACTCGCTTAAGCTCAATGTGTTTTTCGAAGAAAAATTGATAAAAAAATATTTAATTTACATTCATAACATTCAAGAAAATCTAAGTAATTCTTTAGATAAATTTTTACATATTACTTTGAATTAAAAAAAAATCATTTATTATATTAACTTCTTTCATTTCATTTTATTCTGTGGAATATATTATTTTATAAAATCAGAGCATTTTATTCTATTTTCTTGAAATTAAAAACAAACAAAAATTTAATTTATCATTAATTTAGATTATATAAATGCATTGCAAGTCAAATCTTGAACAAATTTATAATTCCTCTTTAAAAAGAATTTAATGAATTGCCTTATAAAATCAACTTCATTAATGATATATTTTTTAAATTTATAAAAATTAAAGAAAATATCATTCAAATACAATTCATTCAAGAAGTTTAATTCTATTTAATGTTTTTTGTTTTGTAAAAAATCTTCCATGTTGATTAATTTATGTAATTGTATTTTTATCATAATTCAAAAAGTTTCATAAATTAAATAAAATTTAACTTTTAAAAAAAGCCTATTCAATACATTGAGTTAATGTCATGTGTACTCAAGAAAACCACCCTTGAAAGGCAATGTGGATGAAACCCTTCAAAATGACTCATAATTAGCAAACTCTATATCTTGTGTATTTAGGAACCCTAGGTCCATGTGATATATATTATTGTGGTGTGATATATTATGATGATTGGTTCCTTTTTGTGTGTTGAGATCATATTATTTTGTGATGTGATGAATTATGTCATGATTGAAGTTGTTTTGCTATGTTGAAAGATGTGTGAGACCCCCTTGAAGTTAAGAAGGCATGAGGCCCTTAGGGGAGTTTTTATTGCGAATTCTGTTGGACACTTGATAACTTTTGATATTTTTTTTGTTTCAAATTAATGTGATTTTTCAAGAACTTTTCGATAAGCAAAGACCCTATCTATCATCTATCATCTTGAGGAATTTTTATTGCCTCAAGTTACCTGACGTAAAGATACATCAGGTAGCCTATAATATATCGCCACGTGCTCTTACTCATTACCGCGCGGCCCGACGACCCAACCCGGAACGAATCCGGGATTACTATGTTCACGTATTGCTCAGTATTTGCTAGGTACTACTTGTTATTTGCTCAGTATTGCTCAGTATTTGCTCGGTACTTGCTCGGTACTTGCTCGGTAATGCTCGGTATTTGCTCGGTACTTGCTCGGTAATGCTCGGTATTTGCTCAGTATTTGCTCGCCTAGACGCTCGGTATTGCTCGGTACTTGCTCGATAATGCTCCGTATTTGCTCGGTACTTGCTTGGTAATGCTCGGTATTTGCCCGCCTGGACGCTCGGTAGGAGGAGGTTCGTCCCGACACAGAGAGTGAGAGAGAGAGAGCAACGGAGAGGAAGTGGTTCCGTGCGGTCTTTCCAGCCGAAGGAGAGAGCGGAGTTCTTCCTGCTTGCATGTGCTCGTCCGAACGAGAGTAAGGGAGAGCAGAGCCGGTCGGAGCGAGGGAAAGAAACCGGGACCTTTCTCACGTGAAACCAGGGAAAGAAAGAGCCGCAGCTGCGGCTCTACCGCTGTCGCGCGACCCAGGTGGAGCGAGGGACCCCTCCAGCGCCCTCTTGCTTGCGTTTCTAACGTCCGTCCGACCATACCAGAGGGAGGAAGAAGCTCTCCTGTGTGCAACCGAACTCAACCAGCACACAGGGATCTTTTCTCGTGCAGCTCTCCCTACCTTCATCTTTGTTTCTCTCTGAAATTTAAGGGGGCAGCCATTTCTTCCTTTTCCGAGCAAGTACCGAGCAAATACCGAGTAGTACCTAGCAATACCGAGCAAATACCGCGCATATTCGTTTCGGGTTGGGTCGTTGGGCTGCGCGGTAAAGAGTAAGAGCACGTGGCGATATATTATAGGCTACCTGATGTATCTCTACGTTAGGTAACCTGAGGCAATAAAAATTATGCTTATGTTTTAATGTCCAACATTCTGCGCCATAAGTATTGCAAGTCTCATCACAATCTTATAGATTTATCCCTTAAGTTTGAAGGGTAATTTTCTATGATGCAACAAGTAGGATGCATTCCTCCACTTCAACCACCAATTTGAATTCTACTAATAATATCATCATCTATTTATTTCGCTATCATTCTGAATAATAGATCTAAAATATCTAACACATGTACTCTTATTAATAACTTGATTGTCCAAAGTTACAATCCCCCCATTAGAACTATTACTACTAAAATTATATTCTATGAATTCAATTTTAAATCTACTCAAACAAAAACTTTTAGATTCTAAAGTTGATCTCCATAATTCAAGTTGGATCAAATTCTTAAGTATGACGAGCTATAAAACTCCCGGATTTGCTTACATAAATTATTTTACACTTATCTCAAACAAATTTAAGGCTATAAAGCCCCATCTAAACATTTTTTTACGAGTATATCCTTACACAATTTTTTTTTTCAATAATTCTATTTACACATTTTTCTTAGGCTTCACTTTCTCAAAAAAAAAAAAAAAAAAAAAAAAAAAAAAAATCTCTAGAAGATAAACAACTCGCCTGACCTAATCAATGTTATTTGATCGACATCAACCATATACTATTTTTTAGGTTGAATGTAACAAAATATTCCTTATTTTTGTAATTAGATGTGTGCGTTAAGTTAACCTAACTTAAAAAATATGAAAAATTTTACACATAACAGTTAAAATTCAAATATTTACAAAACTAACAACTATGCCATTTTTTTGTGAATTAGTCAATTAATGTATTTACATGTGTCATTATTAAATTGTCAGAAATTTGACTAAAGAAAAATATGTAAGTAAACACTTTGTTGTGAATTTTAATATTGGGGAAAAAAATGAAAGATAGTGTTAGTTTTGTAAATGATAGGTTTTTGTGTGTGTAATTAAAAAAAGTTTAACCCATCCGGGCCCAATTTTCGGGCCAGGGTCAATTTGGGCAGGCAAGGGGCTTCTTCTACACAATCAACCAGTTCGTTGATCTCTTACGAACAGAAATACATAAGAGGAGGAGGAGAGATCGGGATCAGGGTTAAAGTCTCTAGCTTTTGTATCCGTGTCGATGGGGAGGGAGATGGACGCAGAGGAAGAAGGTACTATGAGCTCTCACCAGAGCAAGCCGGGCGTCCTCATCGTTGGCTGCCCTAACATCGGCAAGAGAACACTCCTCTCTAGTAAATCTTTAACTTTCTCCCATTTTCTCAGTCTCAGCAAGCTTAGATTTGGATCTTTATTATTCTGATAATTTTGACATTTGGCTACATAAGCAGATAGCAACCGATCAAAATAAACTTTTTGTACCTTTTCATTTTTATCAATATTCTGTGTCATATTTTCTTTACGGGTCTTTGTTCAGTAAAGGAGCTGCATATAGGCAATGAAAACTAGAACTTAATCCAAAATTGTCGGAGAAACAACGAATATGCCGAGGCAGTAAGATGAGTCAGGAAGGATAAGTGTTAGGATCATTTAGTTACAGCTAGTTGGTCTTTGATGAGCATGATGGAGGAGCCGAGCATGATGAAGAAGCTAGAAGGGCGTTTTAACTGTGAGTAATCCAGCACAGCAGCGAAGAGAATATGAAGGGCAGAGGAGTTCAAGGGTAAGGAGCAATAGACAAAGGAAGGGATGTCAATATCCGAACACCTCTCCCGTAGGATTTATGAAATCCCATGAAACCCAAATTGGGGAAGCAAAAAAATGAGATTTAACCAAGAAGTAGGATTTTCATACCCTAGAAACTGTTTGGTAAGATTTACCCTAAGGTGTTTTTTGGCGACAAATAGGATTTGATTCAAGTAAGATTTAATAAATTTTATAAATCTAGATTTAGTAAACCCTAGATGAGTTAAATAATGAATTATGCATGGTATGATAGATGTTAAATATGGACAAGTCATAGTAATTTATTGATAAATACTTATAAGATGTGGGAATTAAATTTAGGGAAGAAGCATAATGAGGAGAATTGGTGTAAATATTTGAAATCCTACTTCCCTCCAATATTTACTAAATCCTAGATTTAGCGTAAAGTTGGATTAAAATGGGATTTAAGTAGTCATAGCATTTAGATTTGCTACATGGTATTTATGGCCTTTGAATTGATAGATGGTAATTGATTACACAATGATTATATAAAGATCAACTATTGATTTTTGCAAGAATTATATGCAAAAGGAAAATAATCTAAGAATATTAAGGAAGATTATAAATCATTTAATGTTGGAAAGATTAATAATAGAAATGTGATTCATTAATAGTGAATAGAAAATTGATCTAGGGTTCAATTCAAGAGGTTAATTGATGGGATCATTCATGATTTTGATATGGACATTACATCATTAAGAGGTAACATATCATGAGCATTAAAATTTTAACGATTCAATCTCTTGATGGAGATTGCTAGGATTGTTAATTTTTAGATCATACCATTGAGATTGATGATCTATTCATTAAGATTTCATAGACGCATATGGATTGCTGCTCACATGCATGGCGATGAAGATTGAGAGGCCAAAAAATTGGACCATTGGAGAGTGATCCACTGGACAATATGATTTGAGTGAATTTTAAACATGTTTTAATAAATTTGTATTTTTAATTTAAATTTAAACATTCTTATTTTATTGATTAGTTTACGAAATGATAATATTTCTCTTGAATTGTGTAGTTATTTAGTTAGGATAATTTTTTCGGCCAACCTCACGTAGTGGGATAAAAGCTTATTGTTGTTGTTGTATTGAGTTAGTAAGAGGGATAACCTTGAATTTAATTAAATTCTTGTTATAATTTCTCATAAACATGCTTGATTCCTGTAATAGAAATCAAATCCGTTCTCTTTAATCCTCTTTATTGTTCTCCTCTTATCTCCTTGTAGTTGCTGGCCCACCTTAGCTATCAAAGTCATTGGCTATATTTCAATTCTCTGTTAGCACAACTTTGTCGCCTTCCTTCAGAAACTAGGAAACTATTGTAGATCCTCTCCGCCATCTCCTGTAGATCTTCCAGCCATTGGCCACCCACTGTTGCCTTTTACAATTGCTAGAATCCCTAGCTGCTACTATTGGAATTATAGAAACAGCAAGAAACAATTTTGAATTGCAATTCCAACAGTCTGGAATCAGAGATCAACACAATGATCTTGCTGTCTAGATGTAAATTCTTAATTATGATGGGACAATCGATTTATATACATTGGATGTATGGATTGACCAATAAGAGACTTGTTTTACATTATTCAGGCACGACACTCATGATATGGTCTCCTTTTGACCAATCGAACTTAGCTAACCTGCTTTGGCATGGTGGATTGCTCACCTGAAAGGGTATGATCATCAGGAAATAACCTAGGGATAATTTATATGATTGATTAAGGTATGTTAAGAGCAAGTGTAGCAAAATTATATGATGGAATTTAGATGTAAAGTAGTTAGTTTGGGTTTAAATTTTTGGGATGTACAAATGTTAATGAACACTATGTCGTTACTCTTACTTTTAAATGAACTCTCCTTATTCACAACCATAGATCTTAGTTAGGTCAATATGATGGTGATGGATATAGAATGAAAGAACCATTGTAGTAGGAAGAAGACACAAAAGCTTGCCAGAGGGGTCTTACAAAAATCAAAGAACAAAACTTGTCATCCATAGCAAGTAGAAGCCAAAATTAGATGGAAAAATTTTCTACAGCTAGAAAACAAAACTTGAAATTTTACTAGAGTCTAGAAATAGACTATACATGTATAAGGACATTTGGTGGAATAAGGATGCAATTAAAAAAAATAAATGTTCTTTTGCAGAGTAGCAAATTACAAATGCTACCATGGTTTATAATAATTATAAAAAAGCTTTTTCTTTTTTTTGTAAAGAGAGTAGTGATTAAATTTACATAATAGGAAGGAGAAATTGAAATAGATAAAATGGCCAAGGAAATATAAGATATCTATAGACTTAAAATATACTTAGATTAATCCAAAATAATGAAGTAGAGTTAGCTTTGAAGAAAATTTAGATAGGTAAAATATTAGATGCATATTTATTACTTGATTGAGATTTAGAGAATTATGGGGAATGTTATAATAGCTTGGTTAATAATTCATTTATATAGAATTTTGCTGACTTAGAAGATGTTAAATGATTGGAGAAGAAATTTTTTATTATCAATATTTAAGAACAAAAGAGTTATTCAAAATTATGTTAATTCTAAAAAAAAAAATAAACTTTTGATTCATATAATGAAGTTATGATATAAAGTAATAAAACATGGACTGATAAATTATTTTTGTTATGAGGAATAAATTTAATGTCATGCTTGAAAGGTTTACAGAAGTGATTTTTCCCCTAAGATAATTATTTAACAAGCATATAAAGCATAGAAATAATCTTCATATGATTTTTATTGATATCAAGAAGACATGATCATGTGCCAGATGAATTGAATTTGTATGCATCAATGAAGAAAAGTGCGCCTAAAGTATGTTGGAAGTTATTAAAGATATTTATGGTAAAACATTGTTTTGTATTAAAAGTAATCATGGAGTGATTAATGAGTTCCTAATATTGTAGAATTAAATCAAGGATTAACATTGACTCTATATTTTTTTCATTAGATGTGGAGAAAAAGGTATGCCAAGTGATATTCTTTGGTTTGTGCTTTTCATAGATGGTTTTAATTGTCAAGACATCCCTTGAAATAATTTAAAAGTTATAATCATGAAAAATCTTATAGAGGATAGAGAGCTTATAATAGAATAATTGAGCTTGTGATATGCACTTTTAGTAAACGTAATATTAATGCTTATCAATCAATATTATTTGAAGATAAAGGAATACCTAAGTGATAAGTTTAGGTATCTTAGATATATTATATAAAAGAATGATGATATTCAGAAGAATATAATTTCCTGAGTTCAGGTTGAATGGTTAAAAGGGAAAGTACCTTAGGATTATATTATATGATAAGGGAATAATTATGTAGACTTAAAGATAATTTTTATAAAACTGTAAGTTTATAATTATATTCCTTATGACAAGTGAATAAATCTAGTTTTGAAGGATTGAGAAGGAAAAAAGTAGACAAGCTAACATGAACATAAGTTAAAAAAGATTTGCAAAAAATAAATTTAGCACTCATGCAAATTTTAGGAGTAAATGAAAATGAAAATTCATAACCCAAAATAGTAGGGTTAAAGCTAATGATTAGATTTATTTAATCTTCATCATGAAGGGTAGTTAGAATAAAATTTCATACATTCTGTGAAGATTTAGTCTTTCATAAGCTTATAAACTTATCAATTCAATGCACACTCCATGTAGTGATTTAAAAATTTGATGCTTTTTGTGATATACATGTGCTCAAATCATTAAGAAATTTATGATCTTATATCGCACATTGTTTAAAACTAATTTAGCAATTAGTTTTAAATTGGATAAATTTTTAGTAGCAATGAAAAACATTACACGCTGTATTTCTTATTATGTTTGAACAATGTTCATACCATTATCAAAGGTGATTTGTTTGATCTCTTACTTGTTCATATCTTATAAATCAATATCCTAAATCTTTTTTTTTTTTTTTTTCTGAATATTTCACCATCCAGAATCAAACTTGTGGGGAATTTGGCTTTTGCAGTCAATAGGATGGTTATTCATATATTCTGAATTTTTTTTATTTGGCAAAGGGCCATACATGAAAACTATCTCTGGTATTCAGGCATCGGTACACGCACTATATGTGCATGGTGTATTTTGATAGGCCAAGTATTGTGTCGTTAATTTTCGTGCTTTAATTGTTATTTATGAGACAAGAAATCTCACCTTTGATGCTTCTTTTAATATCATAACTGTAATTTTCAGATGCGGTGTTTGAATGGCCGCATTGGAGACTGGTGCTTGTTCTGATCCTTGAAGCTTACCATAAATATTATTCTGTTTGCAGGGTTGCTTTCAATAGATATTCCAGAGATACCTAATTTATCTTCTGGAATACTTTGCCAGGGGTGAGCAATTTTGGGTGATAGAAGTGCTAGTCTTATATTCCTAATTGGCAACATTTGATGCCTACCCATGAGTTATCCTTTGGTATTTTATGATTTGTCTAATCAGGTGGAATCTTGAGACTATTTATTTTGATAGATTTCTGGAACTTTAATATTTTTAATAAATATTAGACATTATTATAAGTTGAATGCAAGTGAGTTTGACTGTTTTGGATTTTTCTTTAATTAGTTATGAATTTTAGATATTTTAGGTACTTAATGAATTTTTTTGAAATTGTTTAATTAAAGGCCTTTTATGGTTTTCCTCCAAATAAGTTCCCAATCTCTTGAAAATAGCTCCAAAGGTCTGGAATGACCCAACCAAGTGTTTGGAAAAATTTTGGAATTTTTAATTATTATTAATTAATATTGTAATTAAATATTATATTTGAATTAAAATTAAATTAAGCTTTAATTATCTGTCAAATTAAATTGGTTTTAATTTTCATTGATTAAAGATTTAATTTTGGTCTGTTAGAGTGGTTATACATAATTTTTGGGTTTAAATTTGATTTATTACAATTTCCGAAACATTTAAGGGTTTAATTAAGGTTTGAACTTATGAAAATTAATTAAGGGTCTTAATGATCTCTAAAACCAATGAAAATTTTTCCTAAGGTTGAGAGTGTCACTAAGTTTAAGTGGTTCAAATTTCAAGTCAGAAGGAGATGTACCATAATTATTAGAATTTTTCTAAGTTCCCTACACATATCCTTAATTTTTGTCCTTAACGATGTTACTAGATTAATTAGGTTCGAATCAAGGTTCCAACTAACCCTCAAACTTTAACATATAAATAAACACATACAATCAAACAAGTCCTTAGATCTAAGAGAACCTAGACTAAGTGGTGTGTGCTCCCTAAACATGCAAGGACTAAATTAACTTAAATAATTAATAACTTGATTAGTGAATAATTAGGATAATTATCCACTAATCATCCCCATCAAAACACTTCAAAATGTCAATCTCTGTTTAGAATTTCAAATTAGAATCAATTGCATGCAATAGGGTTTGAAAATGGCATTCAAAGTATATATATATACACTTTTTATTAAAGTATTGATTTAAGATTTTATAAATTCAAAATAGTGTCAAAATAAAATTCAAATAATTTTGAAAAAATTTCTGGATGTTGGAAACATCTCAAAAATAATTACACTCAAAGTTTGGAAATGTTTGAATTTATATCTAACAAAATATTAATTAAAATCAAAATATTCAATACTTGAAATTATTTAAAATATATCAAATATTTTAATTTAAAATATTTTTTGAATTAAAGTACTTAAAATTCTGAAGAGATTGATACAAAATACTTAAATTTTTGATAAAAAAATGAAATTTCTATGATTTTTCAAAAATCCTGATGATTAAATGGTTTTAAGATTAATTAAACCCATTTTTTCATCTCTAGCGGCGAAAAGGCCACATGGCGCCCTCTAATTCGGCCAGCCAGAAATGGCGGCCAATCATTGGCATTAAATACGCGGCGGCAGCTGGGGTCCATGCACTTTCCACTTGAATGAGTCAGCATTCCTCAGCAACCGTTCGATCCTCCGCTGTTTGGCATGGATGGCTATGATCCCGTCAAATCGAGATCCGAATGACAGCTTAGATCGCGCAGACATGGAAATCCGTGGAATGGATCGATCCGATCCGTCGATCAAAAGATCAACGGACCAGATAGCGCTCAGTTTTAGCAGCAGCAAACCGAGCCCCAAAATCCATTTTTGAGCTCGTTCTCGAGATCGGTTCAACCATTAGACTTGGAATTTTAAACAAAGAATCAATTTATGAAGAGTATCAACGGGGTTATACTATTATGGTTCGAAAAGCGCTTATTAAAAAGCTAATTTGAGCTAAGTGAATCTACAAAGGGTTTAAGTTTTTTACCATGATAATGGACGGTTTTACCCATTTAAAGGCATGTTGCATTTTTAGACTGTCCACGCTCCATTTTGTAGAAGATCTCTTGAGCTTTTAACATTTGGATTGATAGGAAATCAACTTGGATGGGATTCGTCTTCGGTTCGCAGGGAAACTCGTAGCCGGTGACTTTTTATTGGTGAAGTTTGAGTGGGGAAGAGTATATGAGGTTCAAGAAAGCTCAAACGAAATAAGAGTTCGGCTGTAGGAGCTTTAGATAGGTGAGAGAGTGTTAGGTTAAGAATGACAGCTCCCTTGAGGGTTTTACCCTATTCAAACATCCCTGGAATGAATGGACGACTAGGATCGAGTTGTGGGAGCTCCTAGATGATTGCCACATGTCCCTTGAACAGTTGGAAAGCTGCCCCAAAGGCTGGACATGCCTTGCTCCCATTGGGTGGACTTGGGATTGCCACTTAAGGCTAAACCAAGGGCTGAGCTTGGTTAGGGAGACTATTAGAGAGCTTTAGCTCTCATTTAGGACTAACCTATCTGCCTAGATTAGTGGGAAGGAGGCTTACATGTGAGTTTAACCATGGGGCTCCTCCACAATCCCTTTGTTAACCAAATTGACCAGTCAAAAGGTCAAGGGGGGGGGGGGGGCTGAGGTGGCAGTGGGAGGTCATGGATGCAGGTTGGATTTAACTTGGAGAGTTTTGATTACTAGGATTTAAGGTTTGAAAACAAGCAAGGGAGCTTGAGCTAGTTTGACCAAGTTTACAAATGTTGACTTGGTCAAAATGACCATGACTTGGTTCATGATGTATTTGGCAAGAGTCAAGGAATTAAAAGAAATGATTTGAAAGCTTGATAGGGATTTGATCAAATGCTAGTGGTGGTTTTGATCTAAACACACAAGTTTGACCAAAATCAAAATTTTGACTTAGCCAAATTGATTTGGGTTTGATTTACCAATGGTTAAGAGGTGATCAAGCCATAAATAGGAGTTGATTTGAAGGTTTAAAGGGGTCAAATGGGTTAAAATGACACATTTAAAGTCTTAAGGGGGACTTGGGTCAACCTATGTTGACTGGGTAAACCAGGTTGACTCAAGGGGTGAGTCTAGGCTGGAGAGGTTTGATTTGATATTTGGAGACCATTGGAGGTGGTCGCCAAGTCTGGGGAGGTCAATTCAGTCAAAATGCTTGTTTTGACCCATAAGGGTCTGTTTAGTCAACCTAGGTTGACTTGGTCAACCAGGTTGACCCAGGGTCTGGGTTTGGGTCCAATAGGTTTGATTTGATATTTGAAACTTACTGGAAGTGGTTCCAAGTAATTTGGAGTCCATTTGGGTTGAAATGGGTATTTGAGCCCCATAGGGGTATTTTGGTCATTTTGACCCCCCTAGTCAACTAGGGGTCAAAATGGGTCTAGCAAAATGAAGTTTACTGCTCAATGGGTCAGGATCAAAGGTTTGAAAGTTATTGGAGGCTTTTTAGAAAGCTTCAAGGTCAAAATCCACTGGGCAAAAGGTCCAGTGGTATAGACTGTAAATATTTGAAGGTTTTACAGCCTTTGGATTTTAATCAAGTTTCCGGGGTTAGAGACCTCAAAATGGACTCAAATTTGGAGGGTTGCCTCTAGAGACATGTCTTATCAGTGTGCAACTAATAGACCCTGAATCAGAGGTCTTTTCACTAGGTTTTAAAGTGTTTGAAAAATCCTCGGAAAAGGCTTTTATGACAAAGCCTTAGACCTTAGATTTATGGGTTTGAATTGGGTTTTGAGCTTGAATGGATAGGTTTGAGTTATCCAAATCATTTATGATCATTCAGATGATCATAATTGCTTGGATAAAGTTAAAGTTTGATCAAAAATAGGATCAAGGTTTGAACTTAAAATTAAGATCTGGATGGGTTTAAAGTCTTGATAGATTTGAAATCTAGATTTGATTTGAACATTGAATTGATTGAAGTCTAGATTGATTTATGATTTGAATTGATCAGAGGTCTGGAATGATTTGAATCTAGAATGTTCCTGGAGTCTGGAGGGATTCTATGATTTAGAATCTAGAAAGGGATCTGGATAGATCTTAGGTTTGGAATCTGGAAGGATCTTAGGGTCTAGGGTCTGGAAGAATCCTAGGATCTAGAGTAGATCCTAAGGTCTTGAGTCTAAAAGGATTCTAAGTACTAGAATAGATTCTAAGGTCTGGATCTAGGAGAATCCTAGAGTTTAGGTTGATTTGTAAGAATCCTATGGTCTAGATTAGATCCTAGGGTCTAGATTAATTTGGAGTCTATAAGGGTCTTAGTGACATCATACAAAAATGAGGTCAATATGCTATATCACTATCCTCGGGGTCCTCACTTGATTAAAGCCAGTATGTCAACCATCTATGAATACATCTGAAAGAGCAATGAAAAAAGAAGACTAGTGTGACATCCAAGTAAATTTTTGGAGATCCACTAAATGAAACCTCTATATGACATCTAGAGATCTATAGAGTCAATCAACATACAACAAATATGGTTTACTCTAGACGTGTACCATATTTGTTAGAGGACATTTGTTGACCGTTTTCCCCAAAAAAAATATCATGTACCTGCTCTAGCATCCCACGTCGCACGTCATCAACACCCCTCGCACGTTGCTCGCACATCGATGCCGCTTCTCCCCATGACTCGCTCGCATCATTAAAAGGGCAAAGAGATGAGGCCTTCATCCTCTTCTCGCGCCCACTCTTCCATCGCCCACTCTCTTGCTCTCTCTTGTTTCTTCTCCAAATCTTTTATTGCTATTCGACTCACCTCTGACGACAATATTCCCTCTAGGTTGGATTGGAAGCTATGATATCCTAATCAGAATCAATAATCGGAACTCCACTCGCTATGAAGGTGTAGAGAATGCAAGTGTTGCTACTTCAGCTCCTTTGTTGGCATTCTACTTCGGCTCCCTCGATTACTTCCCTTTTGACCTGATCGGAAGTTGCAACATTTTGATCGAACAGAACGATAGGAGCTTGCTTCTCCGCCTCCCCTCATGGCCGGACGACCTCACTCCCCCGACACCGTTCCTTTATGTCAGCAAAAAGTTATGACATTTTGATCGTAAGCAACAGCGGGAGCTCTGCTCGCTGTGAACAAAACTTCCTCCCAATCGCGAGCTTCTTCTATCCCGTCGTTACTGTTCGACTTTGTTTCCGCATATTCAATTAAAGT